CTTTCCGCCGCCGCAACCTGCTTGTAGCCGCCGCTCTCAACATCGCCGCCGCGGCCCTTCCGCTGTCGCCTGCGCCCTTCGTCGTCGCGGCCTGCTTGCCGCCTCCGCCCCCGACTTTGCCACCGCCTCCCCTTCCCGCCGCCGCACGTTCGCACAGCCGCCTGCGCCCTTGTCACCGTCGCTCCCTGCACCTTGAACGCCTCTGCCCTCCACCGCTGTCTCCCTCCTTTACCCCCCCCCTCCCTCCTCCTGCCAGCGGCAGCAGCAGCGGCAGCAGGGGAAGTGCAGCAGCCTCAGCAGCAGCAACTTCACCCTTGGCCGCCGCGGGTCCACCCGCCGTCACCCATCATGACTGCTACCCCCCCTGCCCCTCTCCCCCCTCCTCACTGGAGCAGTGTTGCTCCTCGCCCCTCCCTTCTCAACACTCCGACCCTCCACTCCTCCCCCCCCCCTTATCTCCGCCTGCTCACCTCCTCCTCCCCCCCTCCCCATCTGCGGCGTTTCCAGCAGCTCCAGCATCAGCAGCAGCAGCACCTCCAGCAGTGGCAGCAACCACAATTTCTCCAGCCGCACCCCCCACATCTCCTCCAGCCGCGGCAATCGCAGCAGCAGCAGTTCTTCCTACACCAACAGCAGCCGCAATCTCTCCAGCCTCACCCGCCACAGTTTCTCCATCCCCAGCAGTAGCAGTCCTTCCACCCGCAGCAGCAGCAGTCCTTCCAGCCGCAGCAGCAGCAGTCCTTCCAGCCGCAGCAGCAGCAGTCCTTCCAGCAGCAGCAGCTGCCACAGTTCCTCCCGCCGCAGCAGCAGCAGTCCTTCCTGCAGCAGCAGCAGCCACAGTTTCCCCAGCCGCAGCAGCAGCAGTGCTTCCAGCAGCAGCAGCTGCCACAGTTCCTTCCGCCGCAGCAGCAGCAGCAGTCCTTCCAGCAGCAGCGGCAGCCACAGTTTCTTCAGCCGCAGCAGCAGCAGTGCTTCCAGCAGCAGCACCAGCCATAGTTCTCTCCATCCGCAGCAGCAGCAGTGCTTCCAGCAGCAGCAGCCACCACAATCTCTCCAGCCGCAGCAACCGCAGCAGCATCGGTGGTGCTTCCAGCAGCAGCAGCAGCCCAATCTCTCCAGCCGCAACCGCCACAGTCTCTCCCACCGCAGCAGCCGCCGCAGCAACAGTACTTACAGCAGCAGCACCCGCCGCTCTCTCCCTCTTCTATCCATGAAACAACTCTCCAGTACTCTGTGTTCCATCCCTCTCCTTCCCCCCCCACCCTGGACTTTGTCCTTGACAGTGGGGCCACCGAAACCGCACTAAAAGACGCTGGCACCCTCACCCCCCTCCCACTTCCCACCCAGGTTCATGGTGCCGACTCCAGCTTTTCCATCCCCTGCACTCACCTCTCCACCCTTCCTTGCACCGCCTTCCCATCCGGTACAGTCACCGGTCTCCACATCCCTACCCTTCGCAATAACCTCCTCTCCCACCGTGAACTCCAAGGCGTTGGCATTACCGCCATATACCCTGGCTTTGCTTCCTACTGCAATCTCTATCACACCGCCTCTGGTCGTTTCCTCCTGCGCATTCCCCTTTGCCCTCGCACTCGCCTTTACACGCTCCGCACACCCCGTCCCTCCTTTTGTCACGTCACCACTCGTGCTGGTACTTCCACCGGTCCCCTTCTCCCTCCCCCTCCCCCTCCTCTTCCCCCTCACCCTCCCCCTCCCCTTCTCCCTCTCCCTCCGATATCCTCCTCCTCTACTCCATCCGCCTCCTCCTCCCCCCCCAACTTTTCCCCCACCCCATCCCCCTCCTCCTCTACTGCCCTCTCCCATCCTGCGGTGCTCCTACATCACAGACTCGGCCATCCCAACTTCGCCGCACTTCGCTCCACCGTCACCTCTCGCCTCCTTAACAGCCTTCCTCCCACCTTACAAGGCCCGCTACTGCTGCTGCTGCTGCTGCCGCGGCTGCTGCTGGTGCTGCTGCTGCCCCTGCTGGTGCTGATCCGGCTGCTGCTGCTGCCCCTGCTGTTGCTGATCCGGCTGCTGGAAAGGAGGAGAATGAGAGGAGGAGGGAGAGGGGGGAGGGGGTGCAGTGGAGTGAGCGGGGGAGGCGGGTGCGGCAGGGTTGTAGACGTCGGCAGAGGAGGAAGGCGGGAGTGGAGCGGCGACAGGTGGGAGGAGAGGCGCTGGAGGGAGAAGAGGCGGGAGGACGGTGTCGGTCCAAGCGAGGGGGCGAGTGGGAGGAGGGAGGGGGTCAGGAGGAGGGGTGGAGTAGTAGGGAGTGGACTCGTCGAAGACGACGTCAATGCTGCGGATGAGGCGATTGGTGGGAGGGTGGAGGAATAGGTAGCCAGGGGAATCACGATTGTGCCCAAGGTAGACACACTCCAGAGCGCGAGGAGCGAGCTTGCCAGCAGCGCGGGAGCGGTCGGCCGGTGGAATGAGGACGAACGCCTTGCAGCCCCAAACACGAAGGCCTGCGGCGTCAGGCTTGGCCTTGGACCAGAGTTCTGTGGGGGAGGAGGAGGGATGCTGAGGGTGGGAGCGGAGATTGAGGAGGAGGGCGGCATGAATGAGAGCATAGCTCCAGAGGGAGGGAGGGGTGGAGGCGTGAGCAATGAGGCAGCGCGCAATCTTGGTGATCTCACGGATGCGACTCTCAGCGATGCCGTTTTGCTGAGGGGAGTGGAGAAGGGTGGAGGTCTGCTGAATGCCGTATGTTTTGCAGTAAGTGGAGAGAGTATGATTGATGAACTCACCCCCACCGTCAGAGTGAAGGCGGCCTATGGGACGTTTGAAGTGGTTGCGGCACTGCTCAGCCCAGTTGATGACCACAGCCGGCACCTGGTCTTTCGTGTGAAGAAAGAAGACGGTGGAGTACCGACTGTGGTCGTCGACGAGCACGAGCATGTACCTGTGCCCCTGACGAGAGCGGATGGGATAAGGGCCCCAGAGATCCATGTGAACAAGGTCAATGGGGGCGGGAGCGAAGGTGGGGTGACTGTGATGGGGGGACTGTTTGAGCTTGCCATGAATGCATGATGGGCATGGGGGAGCAGGGGAGGAGGGAAGGGGAGGTAAGGTGGGAGGAAGGCTGTTAAGGAGGCGAGAGGTGACGGTGGAGCGAAGTGCAGCGAAGTTGGGATGGCCGAGTCTGTGATGTAGGAGCACCGCAGGATGGGAGAGGGCAGTAGAGGAGGAGGGGGATGGGGTGGGGGAAAAGTTGGGGGGGGAGGAGGAGGCGGATGGAGTAGAGGAGGAGGATATCGGAGGGAGAGGGAGAAGGGGAGGGGGAGGGTGAGGGGGAAGAGGAGGGGGAGGGGGAGGGAGAAGGGGACCGGTGGAAGTACCAGCACGAGTGGTGACGTGACAAAAGGAGGGACGGGGTGTGCGGAGCGTGTAAAGGCGAGTGCGAGGGCAAAGGGGAATGCGCAGGAGGAAACGACCAGAGGCGGTGTGATAGAGATCGCAGTAGGAAGCAAAGCCAGGGTATATGGCGGTAATGCCAACGCCTTGGAGTTCACGGTGGGAGAGGAGGTTATTGCGAAGGGTAGGGATGTGGAGACCGGTGACTGTACCGGATGGGAAGGCGGTGCAAGGAAGGGTGGAGAGGTGAGTGCAGGGGATGGAAAAGCTGGAGTCGGCACCATGGACCTGGGTGGGAAGTGGGAGGGGGGTGAGGGTGCCAGCGTCTTTTAGTGCGGTTTCGGTGGCCCCACTGTCAAGGACAAAGTCCAGGGTGGGGGGGGAAGGAGAGGGATGGAACACAGAGTACTGGAGAGTTGTTTCATGGATAGAAGAGGGAGAGAGCGGCGGGTGCTGCTGCTGTAAGTACTGTTGCTGCGGCGGCTGCTGCGGTGGGAGAGACTGTGGCGGTTGCGGCTGGAGAGATTGGGCTGCTGCTGCTGCTGGAAGCACCACCGATGCTGCTGCGGTTGCTGCGGCTGGAGAGATTGTGGTGGCTGCTGCTGCTGGAAGCACTGCTGCTGCTGCGGATGGAGAGAACTGTGGCTGGTGCTGCTGCTGGAAGCACTGCTGCTGCTGCGGCTGAAGAAACTGTGGCTGCCGCTGCTGCTGGAAGGACTGCTGCTGCTGCGGCGGCGGAAGGAACTGTGGCAGCTGCTGCTGCTGGAAGCACTGCTGCTGCTGCGGCTGGGGAAACTGTGGCTGCTGCTGCTGCAGGAAGGACTGCTGCTGCTGCGGCGGGAGGAACTGTGGCAGCTGCTGCTGCTGGAAGGACTGCTGCTGCTGCGGCTGGAAGGACTGCTGCTGCTGCGGCTGGAAGGACTGCTGCTGCTGCGGGTGGAAGGACTGCTACTGCTGGGGATGGAGAAACTGTGGCGGGTGAGGCTGGAGAGATTGCGGCTGCTGTTGGTGTAGGAAGAACTGCTGCTGCTGCGATTGCCGCGGCTGGAGGAGATGTGGGGGGTGCGGCTGGAGAAATTGTGGTTGCTGCCACTGCTGGAGGTGCTGCTGCTGCTGATGCTGGAGCTGCTGGAAACGCCGCAGATGGGGAGGGGGGGAGGAGGAGGTGAGCAGGCGGAGATAAGGGGGGGGGGAGGAGTGGAGGGTCGGAGTGTTGAGAAGGGAGGGGCGAGGAGCAACACTGCTCCAGTGAGGAGGGGGGAGAGGGGCAGGGGGGGTAGCAGTCATGATGGGTGACGGCGGGTGGACCCGCGGCGGCCAAGGGTGAAGTTGCTGCTGCTGAGGCTGCTGCACTTCCCCTGCTGCCGCTGGCAGGAGGAGGGAGGGGGGGGGTAAAGGAGGGAGACAGCGGTGGAGGGCAGAGGCGTTCAAGGTGCAGGGAGCGACGGTGACAAGGGCGCAGGCGGCTGTGCGAACGTGCGGCGGCGGGAAGGGGAGGCGGTGGCAAAGTCGGGGGCGGAGGCGGCAAGCAGGCCGCGACGACGAAGGGCGCAGGCGACAGCGGAAGGGCCGCGGCGGCGATGTTGAGAGCGGCGGCTACAAGCAGGTTGCGGCGGCGGAAAGGTGAAGGCGGCGAGGAAATGGCTGCGGCGGCGAAACGAGGGACGGCGGCGGCAGGCAGGCCGCGGCAACGAGGGGCGCAGGGGGAGGGGGAGGGGGGGGGGAGAGGAGTAGGGAGAGGAGGAAGGGAGGGTGCAGTTGCGGCTGAATCTGCAGGCGGCGACGGGGCAGTCACGGCGGCAGGAAGTGTGGGCGGGGATGGCGCGGTCGCGGTGGAGGATGGGCAGGCGGCGCCGAAGCAGTGGCGGCGGCAGGGCGGCGGAGGCGCAGTCGCGTTAACGGGAACCGCGGGGCGACGATGTTGCAGTTGCGGCGGGGGAAATTGCGGGCGGGTGGCGATGCAGAAGGGGCAGCGAAATGCGTGGGTGACGCAGAAGCAGGTGCGGCGGTGGGAGGGGAGGCGGAAATGCGAAATCGCGGCGGGGGGGGGGGGGGGGGGGGGGGCGCGGGAAGGTGACGACGAGCAGTCGCGGCGGCGGAATGCGCAGGCGGCGATGTTAGGGCGCGGCGGCGGGACGGGCAGGGGGGCGACGAGCTGTCGCGGTGGCGGAATGCGCAGGCGGCGATGTTAGGTCGCGGCGGCGGGACGGGCAGGGGGCGACGAGCTGTCGCGGCGGCGGGACGGGCAGACGGCGCCGAAGCAGGCGCGGCGGCGGGAAGGGGAGGCGGCGACGTGACGTCGCGGCGGAGGGACGGGCAGGCGGCGACGAGGCGTCGCGGCGGCAGGATGCGCAGGCGGCGCTGAAGCAGGCGCGGCGGCGGGAACGCGACGACGAGACGTCGCGGCGGAGGGACGGGCAGGCGGCGACGAGGCGTCGCGACGGCAGGATGCGCAGGCGGCGCCGTAGCAGGCGCGGCGGCGGGAACGCGGCGACGTGACGTCGCGGCGGAGGGACGGGCAGGCGGCGACGAGGCGTCGCGGCGGCGGGATGCGCAGGCGGCGCCGAATCAGGCGCGGCGGCGAGAGGGGGAGGCGGCGACAGGGGGTCGCGGCGGGGGGGAGGAGGGGACAGCGGCGTTGCGCTCACGGCGGTGGTATCCGCAGGCGAGGAAGGCGTAATCGCGGCGGGAGGGGGGGGGGAACGGCGGCGACGGCGTAGGTCGCGGCGAGAGTATGCTAGTGATGGCTAGTTGAGCCACGCGTAGGAAAGGGTTTGTAGCTGTGGGGTGGGCCCATGGGGAAAAAAAACTGAGGGGAGGGAGAGGTAAGGCCTAGGAACAAGTAGCTCTATACCATGTGAAAGTAGCAAATTGAACAAGTAAGTTCATTAGAGGAGAAACCTAGCATACATAGTTGGAAGAGAGGCTTGGAAGAGAAGGGTGAAGGTGACCATAGGTTGGGTTGACCTCACTTGTAAAAGTGAGGCAACCCTAGGCCCACTTGGCTTGAGATGACCTCACTTGTGGGAAGTGAGGCACCCATAAGCCAAGTGGGTTGCATTTGGGGGCTCCACCACAATTGGGTGGATTGGCACCCCAAAGTGCAAGACTACACCCAAAGTTGGGTGTAGTCCCAACCCAACTGTACACCACAATTGGTGTACAGTCACATGTGCAACACTGATCATAAGGGTTGGCAAAAACAAAAAATTAGCCCTGAATCCAACCACCCTCAAATACTCTTCTCCTCTCCTTCACCTCACCTCTATCTTCTCCTGCCCCACTCCGTGTTAAGCATCTCCCTTGCACCATCTCCCTTTCATGCCTCTCTCCTGTACCACTCCCCCTCTACCCGCTCAAAGCCCCCATCAGCCCCCCAAGAGGCAGTGATGCGCTTCACCTCCCCTGCACCCACAACCCCCTCGCCCACCTCCCCCACCACCCACGACACCGACAGCACAAACGGCCTCCCTGCCACCAGCTGTAGCGAGCGTGGGGCGCACACCATCACCCCGTGCGGCAGAGCAAACACCGCGTAACGTTCCTCATCGCCCTCTGGCACTCGCCCCATGAACCCAGCCGCTGCCGCTGCTGCTGTTGCTTCTGGTGCAGCTCCTCCAGCTGAGGCTGCTTCACCATTATTTCCTCCCCCTCCAGCTGAGGCTGCTTCACCATTATTTCCTCCCCCTCCAGCTGAGGCTGCTTCACCATTATTTCCTCCCCCTCCAGCTGAGGCTGCTTCACCATTATTTCCTCCCCCTCCAGCTGAGGCTGCTTCACCATTATTTCCTCCCCCTCCAGCTGAGGCTGCTTCACCATTATTTCCTCCCCCTCCAGCTGAGGCTGCTTCACCATTATTTCCTCCTCCTCCTGCTGCTGCTGCAATGGCTGCAATGACTGCAGCAGCAGCACTGTTCGGGCTCCATGCTTCCGCCCAGGACACGTTTTCGCGCTCCTGAACCATCAGGTTGCGAGTCAGAATGGTGCGGGTTCCTATCATTGTCTTGTCATCTAGTGCCGGAACGGGCGGCAGGTGGTCGGGTAGATGGGACGGGACGCCGCCCGGGCCCCACGTGGGCCAGACCCAGTCCGCAGGGCGGCGTTCATTGGTATCTAGTGACTCCTCCACCACCACTGATACCCGGAATGCTCCGTCGGACTCGAATCCAACCATAGTGCCAAGACGAGACGTGGGGGCTGGAGGGAAGAGGAAGCAGACGAGACTGTGAATGGGGAGAATCTATCCTTCAGAATGAATGAACACTCGAAACGTTTTACGAGATGAATAGGAAATCATATCTTTTTTTTTTTAGGAACTCTTTGTCCCTGATGAGCTGCCATGCCAGAATAGTCGGTCGTTTTCATAAATCAACTCCGACAATGTGGCCCGTTGTTGTCAACGGATAACGCTCACTGTGGCCAATAGATAACACGGCGGCAAAAGACAGGACGGACAGTGCCAGGCAGCAAGGAGCACTCACTGTGGGAGAAGAAGAACTCGACTAAAAACGGCAGCTTGATACCGCCCGCCCCATCTGACACCTCCAGAGCCGCCCAGACCACGTCCGCCTTTTGCTATGAGACTCACTGTGGCTGAGAGCCTTGGCAGGAAGACGGGTTACTTGAGAGCCCGTGTCAGTAGCCACGAGACTCACTGTTCTTGAATCGACTCAAAAACAGCAGCCATGGGACTCACTGTGGGAGAAGAAGAACTCGACTAAAAATGGCAGCTTGATGCCGCCCGCCCCATCTGACACCTCCAGAGCCGCCCAGATCCCGTCCGCTTTCCTGCTGACGGTGTAGCGGCGCGCGTTGCTGGATGCCACGTGGCAGAAGCCGTCTGGGAGGCTGTGCTGTGCGAGTGACATGTCCCATTGCACGCCCACGTTGGTGGCCTGCGGGGAAACGTCGCCCTGGCGGTCGTACCAGTCGTTCTGAGGAATGGGAGGGGGAGGGAGGGCGTGAGGTGTGAGGGTGACTTATGAGTCTACTGAAACGGTAGGCTGTGCTGTGCGAGCGACATGTCCCACTGCCCGCCCACATTGGTCGCCTGCGGTGAAGCGTCGCCCTGGCAGTCGTACCAGTCGTTCTGAGAGCGGCCGGAGGCGGGATGGCAGGGGAAGAGAGGGGAGAGGGGAGGGGGGGAGAGGGGAGGGGAGGGGAAGGGGAGGGGAATGGAGTAGGGGGGAGGGGAGGGAAAAGGAGGGGAGAGGAGGGGAGGGGACTGGAAGGGGAGGGGAGGGGAGGGGAGGGTAGGGTGGGGAGGGGCGGGGAGTAGTTTGATACAAGTGGGGACGGTAGTGGTTCCGCGCGGGAGTGGCGCGAGAGAGGCGGGGGAGAGGGAGAAACAAGGGCAGAGGGCGGTGAAAGGAGAGGAGGCGAGGAGCGGGGGAAAGTGGGGGAAGAACGGGTTTGGAGGGGGAAGAGAAAGGAAGGGAAGGGGGAGGGGAATAATTTGTGAACGGAAGGAGGGGAGGGTGAAAGGGGTCTGTGGATCACCATGTGAGCGAAGCTGGTGAGATCGGGTGACGTGGCCCAAAATTTGCGCACGGATTTCATGGATCTGATCTCGTCCGTTGATTGCATCGGCTTCCACGATCGCCATTGGCCGTGCCAGTTACCCATCAGGTAATCGGGGGTACCCCACCACCAGTGCTCCTCCGGACTCATCTGACGGAACGACGTCGCTTCTCCGCTGTCAGGGGTCATGGCTGATGCTGACGTGGAAGGTGCTGACGTGTTAGGTGCTGACGTGGACGGGCCGGTGTGGGAGTTCGCGGAGCAATACACAGGTACAGCAGGTGATACGCCACGTCTACCTGAGCCGGGAATGTTGGAAGGATTAGAAAGAGAAAAAATATATAATCAATACAGGAGAATCAGACTGTGCGGGAATCAGACGTTAATAATAAACTGACGATTTTACATGATTTTATTGTGCAAGGTGAATGGGAATCGTTAACCGAGAACGATATCTACTACCTGTCCGAATCGCGCTCTTGGTGGGCCATCCAATCAATGCGGGTCCAAGTTTCCGACGAGAGAGAGCAAATCTTGCAGCACCCTCGGAGTAGGTACTACTAGCCGCGACGGCTGCAGCGTTGCCGATCGACATGGCTTCGGATAGAATCGCAGCTGTTGACAAAGAATGCGACGTCTAAGTTCTGATGAAATCTGGGAAACAGCTGCTTGGACTGGATTAGTTCTCATCTCATCCTTCTTGAAGGATGATTCGCAAATGTTGTTGGGAGTTGCTCCTCCATTCCTGCGCTGCGCTCCTCCCATCGGGCTGATCGATGCTCCGCCTATCGAATTGGCTTGCGGATTTCATTGGGAGTTGCTGGCGTACCACACGAAAGAACATGGATTTCTACGGACTCGGATTTTTCGGCGGCGAGTCGGCGACTTTCGTGACGCAAATCCAAGTGCTGCCAAACGCAGTGGGGTTGGTTGCTGATTGCAGGCAAACCCCATTCACATCGCGTTCAAACGCATTGTATGTAGCACACACCGTCCTGTACGTTGTGGAACAACTGTACGCGCTTTCATTAGTATCAAGCACAACAGTCAGTATGCAATACAAAGCACTTAGGAACTTTTTGTATTTTGGTACTGCCTTTGTGGGCTCTTCCCGAGAGAGCAAGTTAACCCAATGATTTAGCATCACTCACCCCTTTTCACACACAGATGTTGATGGTCTAAAACGCAGTCATCACAAACTCGGTGCGTCCATGATACTCAAACAAGATAAACATATTAATGATACGTGGTACTAATTTCAACATGCAGGTCGCGCCTCCTCTACTACGACATTGCTGCCATCCAAAACAACGTAACTGAAATCTATTCCATCCAAAACTACATGGTACACTAGGCTTGCCGAATCAGGCCCTCCTACAGGGTTAACATCACCATGCAAATCCTCTGAGGGACCGCAGCTTGAAACTGACACCACTTGTGCCGCATCGTGAAACACTGCGTTACAAGGTACAGTAACTACACTCTCAGCCTCTGCTGGCATGCTAGGTAGCTCGAGTTTGGACTTTTGAGTGGACTCCAAATGGGTGCTTTCATGCACAGGGTTTGTCCTGAGCCCAGAAGAATCTGTGATGGCATGCCCAGGAGAATGTGAAGTCATCACTGTGCTAGAGGGATCCAATCTTGACTTCTGATGCAAAGCGGACCGAATGTCTCGCGTCAGCACTTGCCGGCACAGCTCCTGCAGGTCGTCTGGGTGTGAGTATAACGAGCGGTGGCTCTGGAGGGAGGGAAGAGAAAGCCGAAAGATAAGGAGTGGGGAAGGTGGAGTGGGGAAGAGTGGAAAGGGGGAACGTAGAGTGAGGTGGAGCTTGATTATAGGGAGCTCTAATTGGATGTGATTACAATGAGAGGTAATTTTGAAGGGACGGGATGTTCCAGGGTAATTTTAGATTAGATAAGCGCACCTGGGAGGACCACGCATTCTGAAGCTGTGTGGAGACGGCGGGATGGAAGGTGACTGATGCCATGTGCATGCCATCGCCCTCTCCTGATGGCTGGTGGGGGGATAACGAGGAGAATGTACATGGGAGAATGGATGGGGGAGAATGGATGGGGGAGAATGGATGGGGGAGAATGGATGGGGGAGAATGGATGGGGGAGAATGGGGGAGAATGGATGGGGGAGAATGGATGGGGGAGAATGGGGGAGAATGGATGGGGGAGAATGGATGGGGGAGAATGGATGGGGGAGAATGGATGGGGGAGAATGGATGGGGGAGAATGGATGGGGGAGAATGGATGGGGGAGAATGGATGGGGGAGAATGGATGGGGGAGAATGGATGGGGGAGAATGGGGGAGAATGGATGGGGGAGAATGGATGGGGGAGAATGGGGGAGAATGGATGGGGGAGAATGGATGGGGGAGAATGGATGGGGGAGAATGGATGGGGGAGAATGGATGGGGGAGAATGGATGGGGGAGAATGGGGGAGAATGGATGGGGGAGAATGGATGGGGGAGAATGGGGGAGAATGGATGGGGGAGAATGGATGGGGGAGAATGGATGGGGGAGAATGGATGGGGGAGAATGGATGGGGGAGAATGGATGGGGGAGAATGGGGGGAGAATGGATGGGGGAGAATGGATGGGGGAGAATGGATGGGGGAGAATGGATGGGGAGAATGGATGGGGGAGAATGGATGGGGGAGAATGGGGGAGAATGGATGGGGGAGAATGGATGGGGGAGAATGGATGGGGAGAATGGATGGGGGAGAATGGATGGGGGAGAATGGATGGGGGAGAATGATGGGGAGAATGGATGGGGGAGAATGGATGGGGGAGAATGGGGGAGAATGGATGGGGGAGAATGGATGGGGGAGAATGGATGGGGAGAATGGATGGGGGAGAATGGATGGGGAGAATGGATGGGGGAGAATGGATGGGGGAGAATGGATGGGGGAGAATGGATGGGGGAGAATGGGGGGAGAATGGATGGGGGAGAATGGATGGGGGAGAATGGATGGGGGAGAATGGGGGAGAATGGATGGGGGAGAATGGATGGGGGAGAATGGATGGGGGAGAATGGATGGGGAGAATGGATGGGGGAGAATGGATGGGGGAGAATGGATGGGGGAGAATGGATGGGGGAGAATGGATGGGGGAGAATGGATGGGGGAGAATGGATGGGGGAGAATGGATGGGGGAGAATGGATGGGGGAGAATGGATGGGGGAGAATGGATGGGGGAGAATGGATGGGGGAGAATGGATGGGGAGAATGGATGGGGGAGAATGGATGGGGGAGAATGGATGGGGGAGAATGGATGGGGGAGAATGGATGGGGGAGAATGGATGGGGGAGAATGGATGGGGGAGAATGGATGGGGGAGAATGGATGGGGGAGAATGGATGGGGGAGAATGGATGGGGGAGAATGGATGGGGGAGAATGGATGGGGGAGAATGGATGGGGGAGAATGGATGGGGGAGAATGGATGGGGGAGAATGGATGGGGGAGAATGGATGGGGGAGAATGGATGGGGGAGAATGGATGGGGGAGAATGGATGGGGGAGAATGGATGGGGGAGAATGGATGGGGGAGAATGGATGGGGGAGAATGGATGGGGGAGAATGGATGGGGGAGAATGGATGGGGGAGAATGGATGGGGGAGAATGGATGGGGGAGAATGGATGGGGGAGAATGGATGGGGGAGAATGGATGGGGGAGAATGGATGGGGGAGAATGGATGGGGGAGAATGGATGGGGGAGAATGGATGGGGGAGAATGGATGGGGGAGAATGGATGGGGGAGAATGGATGGGGGAGAATGGATGGGGGAGAATGGATGGGGGAGAATGGATGGGGGAGAATGGATGGGGGAGAATGGATGGGGGAGAATGGATGGGGGAGAATGGATGGGGGAGAATGGATGGGGGAGAATGGATGGGGGAGAATGGATGGGGGAGAATGGATGGGGGAGAATGGATGGGGGAGAATGGATGGGGGAGAATGGATGGGGGAGAATGGATGGGGGAGAATGGATGGGGGAGAATGGATGGGGGAGAATGGATGGGGGAGAATGGATGGGGGAGAATGGATGGGGGAGAATGGATGGGGGAGAATGGATGGGGGAGAATGGATGGGGGAGAATGGGGGAGAATGGGGGGGAGAATGGGGGAGAATGGGGGAGAATGGGGGAGAATGGATGGGGGAGAATGGATGGGGGAGAATGGATGGGGGAGAATGGATGGGGGAGAATGGATGGGGGAGAATGGATGGGGGAGAATGGATGGGGGAGAATGGATGGGGGAGAATGGATGGGGGAGAATGGATGGGGGAGAATGGATGGGGGAGAATGGATGGGGGAGAATGGATGGGGGAGAATGGATGGGGGAGAATGGATGGGGGAGAATGGATGGGGGAGAATGGATGGGGGAGAATGGATGGGGGAGAATGGATGGGGGAGAATGGATGGGGGAGAATGGATGGGGGAGAATGGATGGGGGAGAATGGATGGGGGAGAATGGATGGGGGAGAATGGATGGGGGAGAATGGATGGGGGAGAATGGATGGGGGAGAATGGATGGGGGAGAATGGATGGGGGAGAATGGATGGGGGAGAATGGATGGGGGAGAATGGATGGGGGAGAATGGATGGGGGAGAATGGATGGGGGAGAATGGATGGGGGAGAATGGATGGGGGAGAATGGATGGGGGAGAATGGATGGGGGAGAATGGATGGGGGAGAATGGATGGGGGAGAATGGATGGGGGAGAATGGATGGGGGAGAATGGATGGGGGAGAATGGATGGGGGAGAATGGATGGGGGAGAATGGATGGGGAGAATGGATGGGGGAGAATGGATGGGGGAGAATGGATGGGGGAGAATGGATGGGGGAGAATGGATGGGGGAGAATGGATGGGGGAGAATGGATGGGGGAGAATGGATGGGGGAGAATGGATGGGGGAGAATGGATGGGGGAGAATGGATGGGGGAGAATGGATGGGGGAGAATGGATGGGGGAGAATGGATGGGGGAGAATGGATGGGGGAGAATGGATGGGGGAGAATGGATGGGGGAGAATGGATGGGGGAGAATGGATGGGGGAGAATGGATGGGGGAGAATGGATGGGGGAGAATGGATGGGGGAGAATGGATGGGGGAGAATGGATGGGGGAGAATGGATGGGGGAGAATGGATGGGGGAGAATGGATGGGGGAGAATGGATGGGGGAGAATGGATGGGGGAGAATGGATGGGGAGAATGGGGGAGAATGGGGGGAGAATGGGGGAGAATGGGGGAGAATGGGGGAGAATGGGGGAGAATGGGGGAGAATGGGGGAGAATGGGGGAGAATGGGGGAGAATGGGGGAGAATGGATGGGGGAGAATGGATGGGGGAGAATGGATGGGGGAGAATGGATGGGGGAGAATGGATGGGGGAGAATGGATGGGGGAGAATGGATGGGGGAGAATGGATGGGGGAGAATGGATGGGGGAGAATGGATGGGGGAGAATGGATGGGGGAGAATGGATGGGGGAGAATGGATGGGGGAGAATGGATGGGGGAGAATGGATGGGGGAGAATGGATGGGGGAGAATGGATGGGGGAGAATGGATGGGGGAGAATGGATGGGGGAGAATGGATGGGGGAGAATGGGGGAGAATGGGGGAGAATGGGGGAGAATGGGGGAGAATGGGGGAGAATGGGGGAGAATGGGGGAGAATGGGGGAGAATGGGGGAGAATGGGGGAGAATGGGGGAGAATGGGGGAGAATGGGGGAGAATGGGGGAGAAGAATGGGGGAGAATGGGGGAGAATGGGGGAGAATGGGGGAGAATGGGGGAGAATGGGGGAGAATGGGGGAGAATGGGGGAGAATGGGGGAGAATGGGGGAGAATGGGGGAGAATGGGGGAGAATGGGGGAGAATGGGGGAGAATGGGGGAGAATGGGGGAGAATGGGGGAGAATGGGGGAGAATGGGGGAGAATGGGGGGGAATTAGGGGGGAATGAGTTGTGAGGCACCTGAAAACTCGTTTCAGGAGATGGCGGGATGGAAGGTGACTGATACCATGTGCATGCCATCGCCCTCTCCTGATGGCTGGTAGGAAGAAATTGGGGGAATTTTGAAGGGGAGAAAAGGAGATCACATAGCTCTTCAACCATTGTTAATTAACCGAATAATGATGGCCCATTCTATCTGAGGCTCGTCACATTCAATGCGAAGAAAAAGAAGGATGATGATTCATGATGAGTCAAATGTGACCGACAATAAAGCATGACAGTTTCACAATAGTCCACAGCTGGGAAAGGTCACAGGGCTTACCTCCACCCATTGTGGCACTGTGGCAGATGGCAAGGCGTCTGAGTAGGGCAGATAAGGCTTGATGTCCAACACGGGCTGTGGTGTGTGTGGGGTAAAATAGAGGGAGAGGTAGAAGGGAAGTAGAGGGACCATTCGGGAGGTAGAAAGGAGGGGTAGGGAAGGGGAATGAAGACGAGGGGGAATATTCATCCGTGTGCGAGGCACGTTGTTGAAAATTTGCTTTTGAGTCGACTCAAAAGGAGGCACGTTGTTGAAAATTTGCTTTCGAGTCGACTCAAAAGGAGGCACGTTGTTGAAAATTCCCGAAAATTCCCGAAAATTCCCGAAAGGTAGGCAAGTGCGCTTTTTTTAGACGCCTAAAAAGTCCACCATGAGTGAAAACGCCTGTTCTATTGCCCAAATGCACTCCCCACTCACAGTGCCATCAACAATGTCAGCGCCCGAACACGCGTCACCCCTCCACACGCTCCACTTTTGCAACGCCCGGCTCGATGAGCACCGGCCGATGTTTGATAAGGCTGTTGCCCCATGCCACCCAGTCGCCCCAACAGCTACGTGATAACATTAGAGCTTTGAGACGTCTCAAAACTCTACTTTTATCACGTTGCCCCATGCCACCCAGTCGCCCCAACCCAACAGCCTCAATGTTGGTTGTGTTTCAGTATTCCTCAAACAAACCGGTAACCACAGCCACTCACAGTGCCATCAACAATGTCAGCGCCCGACAGGAACACGCGTCGCCCCTCCACACGCTCCACCTTGGTAATGCTCAGCCCGATGGGCTCTGGCTAGTGCAACCAGTATGACGGTGTTTGATAACTCTACAGAACCAGATTTTCACATTACCACTCACCGTGCCATCGACCAAGTCAGCACCCGACAGCAGCACCCGTCGCCCCTCCACGCGCTCCACCCTGGCGATGCTCAGCCCGATGGGCACTGGGCGGTGCGCCTAGTATGGCGGTGTTTGAGAGTTCTCAGAAACCAACAGAGCCACTCACAGTGCCGTCAACAATATCAGCGCCCGACAGCAGCACCCGCCGCCCCTCCACACGCTCCACTCTGGCGATGCTCAGACCGATGGGCACCGACCGGTGCGCCTAGTATGCTGGTGTTTGAGAGTTCTCAGAAACCAACAGTGACACTCACCGTGCCATCCACCAAGTCAGCACCCGACAGCAGCACCCGTCGCCCCTCCACGCGCTCCACCCTGGCGATGCTCAGCCCGATGGGCACTGGGCGGTGCGCCTAGTATGGCGGTGTTTGAGAGTTCTCAGAAACCAACAGAGCCACTCACAGTGCCGTCAACAATATCAGCGCCCGACAGCAGCACCCGCCGCCCCTCCACACGCTCCACTCTGGCGATGCTCAGACCGATGGGCACCGACCGGTGCGCCTAGTATGCTGGTGTTTGAGAGTTCTCAGAAACCAACAGTGACACTCACCGTGCCATCCACCAAGTCAGCACCCGACAGCAGCACCCGTCGCCCCTCCACGCGCTCCACCCTGGCGATGCTCAGCCCGATGGGCACCGGCCGGTGCGGTGTGCGTGTTGCCAGCGCTCCCAGCTTACCCCCCTGCAGCCTCGGCACTCGAACCTGGATGGGTGGTGGCAAGTATGAGAATTTGGCAGGTGATGGCGTTGAAATGGAAACCAAGTAACGCGTAGAGCAGCCAGCAATGCGAGGATCCCTACAGCCCAACCCCCAACCTTAAACCTTCAACTCTGAGCCCTAACCCTCTCCCCTCCCCCCCAAGCAACCCCCGTCTCATACACACCTTGGCACGGAACTAGCGATGAAGGGGGTCGGACCAGAGCCTTTGAATGTCCGTGTTGGCGTGTAACACGTAGAGCAGCCAGCAGTGCAACTCAATCCTTAAACCCGAAACTCTATACCCTGCAACCCCCCTCCAATCCCCGCACCTGACGCTCGCCTTGGCACGGAACTAGCAGTGGTGAGGGTCGGATCAGAGCCTTTGAATGTCCGTGTTGGCATGTAACACGTAGAGCAGCCAGCAGTGCGAGTAACCCGCCAGTCAGATCCTTCCGAAACCCTGAAACCCCCCACGCACCTTGGCACGAAACATGCGGTGGTGAGGGTCGGATCAGAGCCTTTGAATGTCAGTGTTGACATGGAAGACTTAGAGCAGCCAGCAGTGCGAGTACCCCTCCAATCCATCCCCTAAACCCAAGACCCTATACCCTGAAACCCCCCTCCAACCTCCACGCTTCAAGCACACCTTGGCACGGAATTTGCGATGTAATGGGTCGGACCAGAGCCTTTGAATGTCCGTGTTGGCATGGAACACGTAGAGCAGCCAGCAGTGCGAATGCCCCTCCAATCCAATCTCCCCATCCAGACACCATCTCACCCTACACCCTAAGGCCTGAAACCCTATATCCTCACCTTGGCACGGAACTTGCGATGGTGAGGGTCGGACCAGAGACGCTGAATGTCCGTGTTGGCATGGAACACGTAGAGCAGCCAGCAGTGCGAGTACCCCTCCAATCCCTCCAGCGCTGCTGGCGACACTCCTCCACGTGGCAGCTCCAGATAGGCCCGCGCTGCTGGCACGAGCAGCGGCTGACGTGGCGTGCCGTTCCTGCATGCGGTGCAGAGAGGTGGATGCAGGTGAGAGGGAGGGAAGCGTTGAGAGGGGAAGGGAGGGGTGAGAAGGGAGGGGGAAGAGAACGAGAGGGGAGAGGGGAGCAGGTGATGATAGGGGAAGAAGAGAGTGAGAGGCGAGGAGGAGAAGAAAAGCAATTCCATTTTTGAGACGTCTCAAAACTTCTCTTCTTTCACAGGAGAAGAGAAGCAAAGCCATAGAGCAAGTGAGTGTCAACCCACCCACCTGGCGGAGAAGCAGGAGCGGATAACACCAATGGGAGTCATAGGATACGTGTTGAGCCCAACACGCCCGTGCCCGTGCTCTTCCTGCCCGTGATGCTGCCCGTGCTGTTCGCCTGTAGACTGACGCCCATGCTGAGTCACTGCCACGTCACAGCCCTCTGATTGCTCTCTAGCGTCACTCTCTGTAACGCTATTGCCGTCACCATGCCCATCGCTATGCCCGCCGTCACGTGCATCGCCGTGCGAGCCGCCTTCCTGAGGCAATTCAGCAGCGAGCGCGCCGTGCGCGCGCACAGGCGACGCGGGCTCAGCGGCGGCTGGGGCGAGGAGGCGGCTGCGCAACTGCTGCTCCGCGCGGATCCGCCCTTTCCGCTCCGCCGCGCGCTCCTTCCGCTCCTTCTCCAAAGCCCTCTCAAGCTCCGCCACCCTCGCTTCCAGCACCGCCACTGCCTTTTCAAGACTAAGCGCTTTCTCCTTCCATTGCCCCGCCTCCTCTTCCCCATTTCCCCCTGGCGTAGACCTTGATTCCTCCGCATCCTCTCCCCCACTACCCCCTCTGGTGCGTTCCGAACTCATGTAAACCTCGTTACCGCTTCTTCTCCTCCGATACTGCCACCGCCTGACGCGTTTTGATATATCTCAGGATTCCTTTCCGCCGCATTTGCGCCGTTACAACTCCCCGACGCTTCAGCGTCGTTCGGTCCAGGCGATTCCTCCATTTGCGATCTGCCTGCCACGTGTACAGCCAAGGGAGATGTAGCAACCGCCGACACTGCTAATGCGGCCGTAAGAACAACACAGCAATGGGACAAACAAGGAGGCCTTCTTGATCGGAGACGAAGCACGCGCCTAAATGAACCACTGCGACCAAAACCAGGCAATCGAACTACTTCGACTGATCACTGTTGGTGCAACCCTACGGTTTGCACTCGGCTTGTTGTCCGTGTGCGTGAATGTGTGTGTGTATGGAATGGTATGAGGGCATGGGATAATATATATTTCATGCTTATAATTGTGTGTGAATGTTGAGTCATGATGTCGAGTGTGTGTGTCGAGTCAATAGCGAGTTATCGCTAGACGCGTGTTACGCGGTCGTTTGTGTCTCGCGCGCGGTTTCTATTTTGTCGTGCGCGGTTTCTATTTTGTCCTGTGTCGAACGTTCGGCGTGTCGCAGGTGTGTGTAGCAGACCCATCAAGAACTCAAGGATGAGTTTGTGATGAAGAGCCCGAGCCTTGGTGTCAAGCCTCAAGTGATTTCGAAGCTCGCCAAAAAGGGTACACCTCAAGATATTGAAGATATTTACATTACTTTGTGTAGTGTAACATTTCACTTGGTGTAGGCCCTAGTGGAAGGGTAGTTTCGAGACCCTTCGTGGTTGGGGACAGTGTGGCACTGTTCCACATCACTGTACCTCGGCTCTTGGGGTTTGTAGGAGCTGGGAGTCATTCCCAACTCGTAACTCTTCCTATCTTGTGTTCTAAGACTATAGTGGCTGCCATAGTACCGTTCGTTCAAACCGACGCTGTGTCGTCAATTCTTTATCAAATCGTGCAATCTAAATTGCTAATTGTAGACGACGTGAAGACGCTCCAGATCCAATTTGAATCAAGTCATTTGCAGCTGTGAGCAGAACGCTATCAACGTTTGAAGCCGCTGTGCAGAAATCCGTCTGTGCTCTCTATCTTTCGTTTTAGGCACATTCAAGCCTATTGTGACTATAACAATCACACCAGTCACCTAATTTTCGTAGTGTTGACTATGGTGGCGGCCTAGGGAAAACAGACTCTCGTTGGGGATCCTGCTATGCATGTCGAAAAACGCGGTTCCAAAAGCCTCATGGTCCATTCGCGGTAATGAGTTCCGCATTGCGGCCCACTGGGAAAAAAGGGATGTTGACCAACCTGATATCCTACACGTTTATGTGCAATATACGCTCCCACCAATATAAATCTAGGTGTACTGATCTCACCAATATACGCTCCCTAATGTGGTAATGGACAAAACCTGCTGCTGCAGCCTTTCACGCCTCATAACGCACTGTGCCATATGTTGCTCGTGGTCACAAACATGCTCGACATGCGAATATCCACATTAGACTACTGCAATAACGACACATGAGTTTGCGGAACACCAAGTCAACAACAATAATGAAATAAAAGAATGTACACCAAGGACGTAACTGCGAAACAATCACCAAGCACACCACTGCGGGGACAATGACGATTTGCCTTCCACTCCAGCCCCAACAACCCCCTCCACCACCACTTCCCTCCCCTTCACCATCCCCTCACTCGCCGCCACCCACTGCTTCTTGCGCTGGCTCTGCTGCAACGCTTCCTCCTCCAACGCATCCAAATCAATGCCCCCAAACACCTCATTCTCAGGCTCCTCAAAAACTGAAGCCCGCTGCTTCTTGTGCTGGCTCTTCTGCAATGCTTCCGCCTCCAAAGCATCCAGATCAATGCCCCCAAACACCTCATCCACACCAACGCACTGAAAATCATTAACAGTTTCATTACAATAACCGGGCTTAGGCCAACCGTTCTCGGGCTGAGCTCCTTGTGTTGCCGAGGTAGCAACTGGATGGGAGGGAGTTTTTTCGGGGGTAGGTGTGTGTGATGCACCAGGGAGCGCTGCGTGGGGTTGTGCGGAGGAGGCGGCGGGTGTTGGTGTTGGAAGAGAGGCAGGTGCACATGCAGGGTTGGCTGGGAATGCTGGGGAGGCACAAGCACCAGCACCAGCTGCTGCTGCTGCTGCTGCTGCTGCTAGTGGCGAGTTTTGGGAGGAAGGCCCTGCTGCTGAAGAAGAAGTTGCTGCACACTCACTCATCCTTCCATCTCTTCCTCCTCCTCCTCCTACCCCACTCACGCCTCCTCCCCCTCCAGCTCTGCTTCTGCTCGCCCATGTTTCTGCTTCCAGAGCGTCCAGATCGATCCCCTCGAATATATCCTCCTCTTCACCCTCACATGCACGCTCACCCTCGTTTCTATCACATCCAAGCTCCCGCGTGTTAGTGCCACATCGACGAACAGCCTCATCATTGTCACCTTCGCATTCACCCTTGCTATTGTCACGTGTATTGGAGTTGGGATGCTGCATGGCATGCCCGCTCCTCCCTTCTGCCAGCTCGCTGCCGCCCACCATTCCCTCCCTCGCATCTGCTTCATGCCACCCGGGCTGCATAGAGTGTGAACTGGATGGCGCAATGGGCGGCAGAGAATGACTACGGGCCACAGCACCATCCGCACTGGCCGGCATTGAGTGTGTGCTGGGCAGCACAGAATCTCTTCTGGGCGGCAGGAATCGCATCTTGTTGGCGTTGCGGGTGGCAAGTCCAAGAGGGGACGAGGCAAATTGCGGCAGGAGAGAGCGGCGAGGGGATGGGGGACTGGGGTTCGGGTGGGGAGAGGCACTGAGGGAATGGGGAGAGGAGGTGTTAGAGGAGTGGGGAGAAGAGGCTGGGATGGCTGCTGAGGCTGGGGCATGGCAGTCAAAGGGTGTGGCTGTGCCTCTGTTGCTGCTGGGCTGTGCAGTGGGCTTCAGATGATCTGCTGGCTGCACGTGGTCGGTCGTTCTGGATTGTTTGTGCTTTCGGCGTCGTGGTGGTGGGGGGAAGTGGTCCATGGGTAGCTGGCTCAGCAGTGACGCCCTGGTGGAGAGGCATGAGGGGCAGGGAGGTGGGGCGGGGGGGTGTTGGGGAGGGAGGGGAGAAATGGGGAGGGGTTGGAGAGAAACGAGTGTTGCAGGGGCATGAGGAGGAGAAGTGAGTGATTCAGATGAAAGAGAGCGAAAGAATGTAAGAGGATGCGACGAAAAAAGCAACAACTTCATCCCTGCACCAATCAGCCACTTCACGCCAAGCTAAGGGCCCCAACTCACCGGTAAATGTGCTGCATGCTCCTCTCCGTCACCATAGGCCCTCCACGCCTCCCCGCACTGCCCTCCCCTTCTCCCTATCTCTCCTCCTCGTCGTCATCCTCCACTTCCTCGATTTCATCATCTTCCTCCCCACTCTCTTCCCTCTCATCTTCCTCTCCCTCCTCCTCCCCCTCATCCTCCTCCTCCTCCTCTTCCTCTCCTAAATCCCCGCTCCCCTCTCCCTCCACCCTGCTGACGATGAAATCCGCCATGTCATCATCCACCCATGCCACGTCAGCATCCTCTTGGCCTTCCTGTGTGGCATCACGGTCCGACTCCCTGCCACAGAAAAGAACAGAGACACTGCCGGAATTTAAAGAGTTACAGAGTGCTATAAAGGATGATAAAAGTACGGGGGGGAGAGCGAACTAAAGTGAGTGCGACAAGGTTCAAAGAAGTGGGTTAATAGGTCACTGGTTGATTGCACTAGAGAATGTTGCCTGCTTCACTGGGCAGCACATCACCTCATGGCACCTCGCAGCACCTCATAGCACAGCACAGCACAGCACAGCACAGAACCACACAGCACCGCACTCACTCAGCCTCTTCATCAATGAAGTCCAGCACCCTTCGAGCCATCGCCTTGCTTCTCCCTCTCCCGCCCCTTCCACCAATAGTACTGCTGCTGCTCGCACCCACAGCACTCCTGCGCCTTCCTCCCTTGGCCCCTCGGCTGTCCTCCCCACCACCGCCACTCCTCTCCGTGCCACTTGCTTTGCTACCGCCCCTACCCCCACCATCACTGCCCCTGTTGCCGCCACCCCTGCCGCCTCCACTTCCCGTGCAGCCATCACTGCCGCCTGCCTGCGGCCCTCTCCGTAGCCTCTTGAGGGTTCTTGAGCGCTGCTGAGGTGAGCTGAGCGTCTCCTCTTGTGCGCCCTTCGTTTCCATCACACCTTTCTCTCCTCTCAATGGATCAGGCCCAGCCATGCTTTCTCTGTGCGAATCCCAGTCATCACAACCACCAGCACCACCATCACCATCACCACCACCACGACCAGCGCCACTTCCCTCATCCTCCTCACCCTCCTGTGTCATCACCACCATCTGCCTTCTCCTCTGCCTCCTCCTTCCACCTCCCACATTCCCGCTTCTCCCCTGCTCTCCCTCTCCCTCTCCATCTCCCTCACTGTCACCATTGCCATCACAATCGCTCTCGTTAGCCGCTGATTGCTTCTGTGGCTGTGGCTGATCGTTTCTCCCTTCTCCCCCCTGCTCTCCCTCTCCCTCACCATCGCCATCTTTATCAACTTCTGATCGCATCTGTGGTAGTGGCTGTCGTAGCTGTGCTGATGCCTGTGGTAGGGATGGCATTGCTGCTGCTGCCACTACTACTGGCGAGTGTCGGGATGGAGGTGCTGGTGGCAGTGCTGCTGGTGCTGTTGGTGCTGGTGGTGTTGGCAGTGGTGCTAGTGGTGATGATGGTTCTGCTGATGGTGATGCTGGTACTGATGGTGCTGGTCGTGAAGACCACAGCAGTTGCCTGTCCCCATCAGCCCATCTACCCCCAACCGCAACTACACCACCTACGCTGCCCTTCATACTCCCACCAGAAGCATTCACATCAGATCTCTGCTGCTGCTGCTGCTGCTGCTGCTGCTGCTGCTGCTGCTGCTGCTGCTGCTGCTGACGGCAGGGGCCTAACAGCCCACGCAAGCCTGCTGCTGCTCTCTGCTCTCCCCACTGCACTGCCCCCCTGCCAGTCCCAGCTAAAATCGCAGGGCTTCCTTCCTCCAGCTGCTTTCGTGTCATTCTGCTCTGCTGCACACACGCCCTCCTCCCCGCTCTTTGAGCCTGGCCCCCGCACCTCACCATAATGCTCGTGAACCGCATTCCCCCTCCTCTTCACCCCTGAACCATGTGCTCTGCCTTGTTCTGCAATGCACAAATCAGCTGCTTCAGCTCCTGCTGCTGCTGCTGCTGCTGATACTGATACTTCTGCTGCTGCTGCTGCTTCTGCCGCTGCGGCTTCTGTTGTTGTGGAAGCTCCTCTCACGCTGCCACTCGTCCGGCTTGCAGCGCCATCACTCACCTCGTCCGACAGAAGAATGGGATCGAATGCATCCCCACCACCGCAAGCAGCACCACCGGCAGCACCACCACCGGCAGCACCACCAGCAGCAGCACCACCAGCAGCACCACCAGCAGCAGCACCACCAGCAGCACCACCAGCAGCAGCACCACCAGCAGCACCAGCAGCACCGCCACAACCACCAGCACCAGCGTCAGCACCACCACCCCCGCCGCCACCACCGCCACCATCACCAACCGCTGCGTGCAAACCCTTCTCCTTGAACGGTCCAGATTCAGCCGCCCCAACACCTCCCTCCACTCCCATTCGTCTCCAAGTTGCCTCCAAACCAACCGCACCACCACCTGCAGACACAACCTTTTGCCCCAACGGTCCGGATTCAGCCCCCCTCACACCTCCCTCCACTCCCATTCCTCTCAAGCATTCCATGCCACTGCCCACATCAAACCCCCTGCACCTATCCTTCTGCACAACCGTATCCATCCGTGCATCGTTTTCCCTCCTCATACCCATAACATGGGCATTCCCGGCCCTCCCATTCAATTTTTGAGGCGCCTTAAAAACCATCCGTGCATCGCTATCCCTCCACATACCCATAACATGGGCATTCCCGGCCCTCCCATCCACTCGCCCCGCCCGATCCTGGAGTTCCAAGCCTTCACCACCCTCCTCCTCCCCCTCAACGTACCTCCAGATCGTTGGCTCTTCATACTCCTCCAACCCCACGTACCCATCCTCCTCCCTCTCACCACCCTCCACCTCATCACAATGCCCACCACCCCTACCAACCGCACAATGCCCACCATCCCCACCATCCCTACTGTCCCGGTCCAACGCACAACTCTCCCCATCACTATTCTCCTGCTCACCACCCTCCTGCCCTCCTCCCTTGTGCTCCCTCGTCTCTTTCTCACTGCCTCTACCCTCTCCAACGCTCGCTCCAACACCACCCCTCCTTCCGCTGCCCTGCTGCTTCAACTCAAGCCCTCCTCTCATGGGCAACGACGGTGCTCCACCCAATTTGCAGTCTGCCCTCACCTGAAATCCCCTTGCTCCCACATTCACTCCTTTCCACGAATTCCAACCATCATCCCCCACCTGCACTCCTGTCCCCAGTCTCCCTCCCATCCCTGCACCCATTCCCGCTCCTGTTCCCTCGTCCCCTCCCGCCCCCCCATCCCTTCCCAAACCCACATCGTTTCCCATCCCCTGCAGTATCCTCAGTGCCCCCACCAACATCCGCTCCGACCTATCGGAATGCGCCACCTGGCACGTCCTCATTCGCTGCGTCTGCGCCGACAAGAACCCCGTAAGGCTAGGCTTCCATCTCGCCTCCTCCCCGCCACCAGAACCGCCACCAAGCCGGTTAGCAGCCTGCTGTTGAGACGTCCCAAAAGGCTTCCACCTCATCCCCTCCCCGCCACCAGAACTGCCAGCTAGCCGGTTAGCAGCCGGCTGGATAAGATAAGCTTCAGCAGGGAGGGATACCGGGAAAGAGCATCTGATTCAGCCTGCAGAAGCTGGGTCACTGGAATGGGGCAAGCTGATGCTGATGCTGATCTTACTCCACTCATTCTCTTCCCCCGGGCTTTCTTGGTGGAGGGATCGAGCGAGGCTGGGGACGACGAGGGGCGGCGTCGCTTGGAGCGAGGCGGGCTGAAGGCGGGCGGCTGGATGTTGACGATGGCAACGGTGGGCTTTGGCAGGCGATGAGGCAGCTGGTGGGGTTGGGAGAAAGGGGGGACAGGTTGAAGAAGCAACTGTAAGGGATGAAGTGGGTACAGGATTAAATCGTCGAGTCGACTCAGATCATAGCTGGATGTTGACGATGGCAACGGTGGGCTTTGGCAGGCGATGAGGCAGCTGGTGTAGGCATGGGAGAGTGGGGAACGGAACAGGTAAAGTAGCAACGGATGGGGATGAGGAGGCTACACGATACACAGCACATGGCACATGGCACAAGCACCTAACACACAGCGCACAGAACTGCTGCACATGGCACATGGCACATAGCACATCAAGATTAACGCACGGCACATGGACCACGGCACGCACCATTCGCAGGGTGTCATGAAAGCGAAGCACGCAGCACATGGCACGTACAATACAGCGAATAACACATGGCACACGGCACATGGCACACGGCACATGGCACACGGCACACTACACATGGCACACGGCACACGGCACATGGCACACGGTACACACCATTCGCAAGCTGTCGTGAAAGCGAAGCACCCCTGACGTATGCGCGGTGCGAAGGTTCCTGGAAAGAGCTCGATTGGCCTTGCGCTTGGCGTTGAACCGCTCAATCTCCCACCCCTCCGTGGCTAGGACCAGTGGTCGGTGGAAGGATGCAACAAAACAGGCAAGGTAATGTAGCATACAGCAATGATGAAAGAGTGGGGGCCCGAAGGCGGGAGAGGGGAACGGGGCGGTGGGAAGGGAGAGAAGGAGAGGAGACGAAAGAAAGAGCAGGAGGAATGCGCAGGGACGGGAGGTGGAAAGTTAAGGAAACCAGGCACGTGCTTGCGGCAAGGGGTGCAGTGCAAGAAACGGAGGGAAATGCGAAGGAAATGCGAGGAGCGGTGGGGAGCAGTGAGGAGTGGTGGTGAGGAGGATATCCACTTTGCCGTCCCTGCTGCGACCAGTGCGCCCCATGCGCTGAGTCATGCGCAACACAGAGACTGCATCGAAGCAGACCACCAGATCCACCTGGTGTTAGTGGGATGGCAGGGAACCAAGAGATAGGGGAGATGGCAAGGGAAAAGGGATCAGTGGGGCGGGGTCGAGATGTTCAGGAGACGAAGTGAAGTGAGAATACAACGCCGCACAGATCACCTTTAGTTTCAACCCACCTGGGATGTGCCCAACCCGCCAGGGATATGCCAAACCAACAGCGAAGATTCCACCAAATCTTTCAGCCACCAATAGTGTGGTAGGAGCGATAAGAAGTGGCATTGCATCCGCAATGCACAACCCACACCCACCCACCTGGGATATATCCAGCCCCTCCTCTCCAATGGTTGTGGAGACAAGCACATTGTACGTTCCTGCTTTGAAGCCCTGGTGGGGGAGAAACGAGTGGGACGAGAGAAGTGAGTGGGATGAGCGACACGAGTGGGACGAGGGGGAACAAGAGACAGCAGAGGAATGATAAAGAGGGTGGTTATGGGAGGAACAAGAAGAAGCCATGGCTTTGAGACACTCACATCACATCCAACACCACCAACCAGCTGCTTGTATCAAATTTGAGAATTTCCACAAGTGACACAAGTAAAGCTGTGGGCTTGAGACACTCACATCCAGCACCGCCTGCTTTTGAGACGTCTCAAAAACAACCTCGCTGCACGTCACCAACCAGCTGCTTGTATCAAAATTTGAGAATTTCCACAAGTGACACAAGTAAAGCTGTGGTCTTGAGACACTCACATCCAGCACCGCCTGCTGCTGCTTGTATCACTTTTGAAATTTCTCAACAATAATTCAAGTGAAGCTGTAGGCTGAGACACTCACATCCAGCACCGCCTGCTGCTGCTTCTGTGACTGACCCATCAGCCGCTTCCTCACTTCCATATCACCCCCTTCCTCCTCCTCCCCTGCTTCTTCCTCCCCCTCGTCCCCTTCCACTTCCGCCCTCTCTTGTTCCTCTTGCCCACTCCCCTCTCCTAAAACCTCTCCCTCAGCGTCCCATCTCTCCTCCCCATCCTCCTCCCTGCACACACCCTTCACCACACAACCATCAGCATTGCCTCTCCCTCCCCTCCTTTTCCCCAGACTTCCGTTCGAACCATCCAAAGCTGCTCCTCCTCCAGTCCCTCGCTCACTCCCCTTTCCTCCCATCCTCCCTCCCTCTCGCCCTCCCTCTCCCCTTCCCCCGCGCCCTCCCCCACGCCCTCCCCTTCCCCCTCCCCTTGCTCCTATCCGTGGAAGTCCCTTGGCGCGCGCAGACCCCTTGGCCCGGTTCTGAGGCAAGTCTGCTCCTGCAGTGCAGCAGGGAGAGGGTTACCCTGTTACCTTGTTGGCTGCTGAGAGATAGTCAACTTGCCAGCTGCTGAGAGAGAGACGGGGAACTTGACATTTGCAAGACGGAGTAAGCGAACAGCTGCAAGCGAGAGATGAATGAACACCATAGGTAGTTGATAAAAGCGAATGAGTCCAGAGTGGGCCGTCCGTACCTGGCACTGCCCGCCGTACCTGCACTCCGTACCTGGGCTCTGCCTGCCATACCTGGGCCCTGCCTGCCATACCTGGGCCCTGCCTGCCATACCTGGGCCCTGCCTGCCATACCTGGGCTCTGCCCGATGAACTGCTTCACTCGCAGCAGCGGCTCGTGCTGTGATAGGCACTCCACAATCTCCCTGCATCCATGGACACTCAAAACGAGGCACACATGACAAATGATTACAGACACGCAGAATGGCATGTCTTGAGCGCACATCACAGAAACAGGGTTCGATAGACAAAGGTGAGTAGCGACCTTTGAGGCGCCTAAAAAAATGGCATGTCTCGAACGCACATCATGGATGCAGGGTTCGATAGACAAAGGTGAGTAGCGACCTTTGAGGCGCCTCAAACAATGACTTTTGAGGCGCCTAAAAAAATGGCATGTCTCGAACGCACATCATGGATGCAGGGTTCGATAGACAAAGGTGAGTAGCGGCCTTTGAGGCGCCTCAAAAGATGACTTTTGAGGCGCCTAAAAAAATGGCATGTCTCGAACGCACATCATGGATGCAGGGTTCGATAGACAAAGGTGAGTAGCGACCTTTGAGGCGCCTCAAAAGATGACTTTTGAGGCGCCTAAAAAAATGGCATGTCTCGAACGCACATCATGGATGCAGGGTTCGATAGACAAAGGTGAGTAGCGACCTTTGAGGCGCCTCAAAAGATGACTTTTGAGGCGCCTAAAAACATGGCATGTCTCGAACGCACATCATGGAAGCAGGGTTCGATAGACAAAGGTGAGTAGCGACCTTGCGAAAGTACATCAACGAATTTCATCTTCATGTGTAACTATCATGCCAAAAATAGATGCTCAGTCACAGTGTCCTCGCTATAGCATCGCCTCATTCACTCACTGCCAACTACAGTCAACCACTTGCTTGCATACACTGTCTATCCTGTAGCCATTTCAACCCACAGAAACCAAATGCTGCTCACAGCTCACAGACACAAACACGCACTACAAACACACACACACACACACACACACATACACACACACACACACACACACATGCACACACTACACTAATCCACTGCTCTGGTCATCCACTAAAGCCACACCTGCTACAGTCACACTCACTGCACACTGTCCCGAAAGGTGGAGAAGATGATGGCCCTCGTGTCACCTGTACCACGCTGCTGGGCTGCATGGGTGGATGGAGAGAAAAAAGAAAGGGGAGAAGTCACGGGAGGGCAGGAGGGGATGACTGAGGAGGCCCCTTATACAATCACTCACTCACTGCTCTTCGTGTCCTGAGGTAATATGGCACTATCTTAAAAAGGTGGAAAAGATGATGGCCCTCGTGTCACCTGTGCTGCGCTGCTGGGCTGCATGGGAGGAAGGGGATGAGACGGGCGAGAAATGGGGATGAGATGGGCGAGACGAAGCAGGGGCCAGGAGGGGATCACTGAGGAGGCAGCACACTGTCTCGTAAGGTGGACAAGATGATGGCCCTCGTGCCACCTGTGCTGCGCTGCTGGGCTGGGGTATACATGGGCAAACGAGTCGAGTTTTTACTAGACTCGTTTGAAGTACTCGAAAATAACGAGTTTCGAGTTCTGATTTTGGTAAAAAAAGCTCGTGAAAATGAGTCGATTTTTACTCGCGAGTTTAAAAAAACTCGTGAAAAACTCGGCTAGACAGGCGAGTTACCCATAACTCGCGAGTTTTTTTTCACTCACGAGTTTTGTTTAACCTAGACGAGTTTTAAAAAACTCGTGCATCAAATGGTCCACCACAGGGGGGTACAAATGTCTGTTTCTGGGTTAATATGCTGCTGGAGGTGTGGCTCGCTGTTTTGGATGTGTTCCACCACTTAATTGTGAACACTAGTGCAGCTGGCGTGGCGGTGAGTAGCTTTTTTGGAAAGTGAAAGGGGGGAGGAGAGGTGGGGCTGGCTGGGTCGTTTGTGGGTGTTGACGCGTGTGGCAATTTTCTGGGCACCCTACAACTGTTTTCGTGTGGCTGGGGTTTTAGGTTAGGGTAGTGTTTAACTTCGAGTCGAGTTTTACTTGACTCGGACGAGTTTTTTTAAGGCTCATCCGAGTTTTCAAAAAACTCGACTTTGGGGCCGAGTTTCGAGTCAGCATTTTGACCAAAAAAACTCGACGAGTAAAACTCGACTCGACTCGTCAAAGGGAAAAAACTCGTCAAAACGAGTCAAGTAAAACTCGACTCGCCATTTGCCCATGTATAGGCTGGGGGTGTTGGGTGGAGGGACGAACGGGAGAGAGGAAAAGAAGCGAGGGGAGGGGGGGGGAGAAAGGGATAATTGGCCTGGTGGTGTGGTGGCATCTGCCCTGAGCTGCAGGTGAGTATGCAGCGGCAGCCCAGATGAGCAGATGCCCAGGTGAGTATGCAGCGGCAGCCCAGATGAGCAGATGCCCAGGTGAGTATGCAGCGGCATCCCAGATGAGCAGATGCCCAGGTGAGTATGCAGCGGCAGCCCAGATGAGCAGATGCCCAGGTGAGTATGCAGCGGCAGCCCAGATGAGCAGATGCCCAGGTGAGTATGCAGCGGCAGCCCAGATGAGCAGATGCCCAGGTGAGTATGCAGCGGCAGCCCAGATGAGCAGATGCCCAGGTGAGTATGCAGCGGCAGCCCAGATGAGCAGATGCCCAGGTGAGTATGCAGCGGCAGCCCAGATGAGCAGATGCCCAGGTGAGTATGCAGCGGCAGCCCAGATGAGCAGATGCCCAGGTGAGTATGCAGCAGCAGCCCAGATGAGCAGATGCCCAGGTGAGTATGCAGCGGCAGCCCAGATGAGCAGATGCCCAGGTGAGTATGCAGCGGCAGCCCAGATGAGCAGATGCCCAGTTGAGTATGCAGCGGCAGCCCAGATGAGCAGATGCCCAGGTGAGTATGCAGCGGCAGCCCAGATGAGCAGATGCCCAGGTGAGTATGCAGCGGCAGCCCAGATGAGCAGATGCCCAGGTGAGTATGCAGCGGCAGCCCAGATGAGCAGATGCCCAGGTGAGTATGCAGCAGCAGCCCCCTGCTGCTCAGTGCTAAGCATTCAAGTGCTGCGGAAGCATCAAACAACGAAGGGACAAACAGCAGCAGCACTCACCAAGCTCACCCACCCTCACTCAAGTGCAGCAGCGTGGCAAGCGCACACGCGCATCCACACACACCCACCATCCCTGAAGTGCAGCAGCAGCAGCTTCTCCAACTCCACCAGCTTCGATTCATCTCAAAGATCAATGCTTTGAATTGAAGCGTCTCACGAATCAACATTTCGAGACGCAAGAACCTTACCCACCAACTCCCACCAACACCCACCAACACCCACCAACACCCACCATCACCCACCGACACCCACCATCACCCACCCTCCCTGAAGTGCAGCAGCAGCAGCTTCTCCAACTCCACCAGCTTCGGGGAGATGGCAGCCGCTGCAGCGGACGAGGGCCCAACCCTGGCAGCTGACGTGGAAGCTGATGACATGGCACCGCCTTGCCTTCCCTTGCTGACCTTTCCCCCCTCGCCCCCTCCCACAGTGCGACGCATGATCGTCAACGCCTTGTGCATGTTCTGTTCCCTCACCACTGCTGCCAGGGGCCTGCGGGGGAGGAGAGGGGAAGGGCAAGAGAGGACACGAGTGCTGTGCGCGGTGCGGAAGGTGTAGAATGGAAAGTAATGAGAGGTGGATCTGAAGGGACGTGGTATGATGGGTCGAACTTTGAGTCGACTAAAAAATCGACTCATCACACACGGAAGGTGTAGAGTGGAAAGTAATGAGAGGCGGGTCTGAAGGGACGTGGCATGATGGTCAATGCCTTCTGCTTGTTCTCACAATCACTCACCTGCTCCTCTCAATCACGTGCAGTGCTGAGCGCATGCCATGCGACATGAGCCTCTCTAACGCAGCCCCCACGGCCTCTGCCCGTGACCACCACATCTGCCCCGCCGCCTCCCTGCCACCCATCGGCGCCGCCCCAAAGCCCCGCGCTGCTGCCTCCTGCTGCCGGCTGATCTCCCGCTGCTCCTGAATCATGCGCAGCTGGTGAGATGATACCATCTGAGAGGGGCAGTTGGAAGGAAGGGAGAGGGGCAGTGAGGGAACGAGTAACGAGTAGGAGAGTCAGACGGCTGATCTCCCGCTGCTCCTGGATCATGCGCAGCTGGTGAGATGATACCATCTGGGGGGGCCATGGTGGCAGGGGAGAGGGAGGGCGAGTGGGAGTGGGTGAGATGAGAACGGCTGATCTCCCGCTGCTCCTGGATCATGCGCAGCTGGTGGGACGACACCATCTGCGGGGGGATGTAACGGCAGGGGACAGAAATAGTGTCAGGGGAAAGAAGCAGGATTTGAGATGACTGAGACAACTCCTTTCACGCTCCTCCTGGATCATGCGCAGCTGGTGGGACGACACCATCTGGGGGGGAGGACGTAGTGGCAGGGGAGAGGGGCCAAACGGAAAGGCTTTGAGCTGCTCCTGGATCATGCGCGGCTGGTGGGAGGACACCATCTGGGAGGGAAGGGCCTGGTGACATGGCAGGGGAGAGGGGCGGCGATGGGGGGCGCTATACGACTGCTTTCATGCTTCTGCTGAGCCAACCACCGGTGGTGGGATGACACAAGCTGACACCCCAGGGACTGGGAGAGAAAAACGACAGGGAGAGCGGCCGCAGGGGAAGGCCATGTTGAGATACACATGTGCATGCATGACCGCCCTAAGATTGATTCAACCCAAGTGCACCTACACCCTCATATGCGATTACACACTGAGCTGACCTTGCTGGAAGACACGAGAGCTGAGGACACAAGGCCCAGGCGATTGAGGGCTTCCAGGCACCTCCTCTGCTCCGCTAGCAGCAGCTTCTCCACCTCTGCCACTGCTGTGTGCATGCGCACCTGAAGGGAGGCGATTTGAACAGCATGAACAGGAGGAGTACAGATGTACGCTAGACAGGTACAGCGTGGTGTAGCACAGCGCAGCGCAGTATAGCACACAGCAGCATGTACATGGCACTCCATACCAACAGCACACACACAGCACCACAAAGACACAGCATACCAAGCGTACATGCACAGCGTACCTTGACCACTTGCTCGGTGCGCTTGTGCATGTACTGGGCGACTTGCGGGTCGTCATCTCCCCGGTACTCTATGAGCGATATGCCCAGCTTGTCCACCACCTCCTGTACCTTGGGCAGCTGGGCTGGTGGTATTGAGGAGGTAGAGGGGAGAGCAAGGGGAAAGTGGTAGTGTCAAATGCAAAACAGTGCGGTACTCTATGAGCGATATGCCCAGCTTGTCCACCAACCACCTGTACCTTGGGCAGCTGGGCTGGCGATATGGAGAAGAAAGAAGAGCTAACTTCTAAGTTATTGAGGGGAATCGTTCTCGTTTGCAGCATGCCTATAGGCACCAATGGGTGACAAGCCCAGCTTGTCCACCACCTCTTGCACCTTGGGCAGCTGGGCTGGTGGCATTGAGGAGGTAGAGGGGAGAGCAAGGGGAAGTTGGTAGAGTTGACGGCACAGCATAGCAGGGCAGCGGTCCATGAGTGATATGCCCAGCTTTTCCACCACCTCTTGCACCTTGGGCAGCTGGGCTGGTGGCATTGAGGAGGTAGAGGGGAGAGCAAGGGGAAGTTGGTAGAGTTGACGGCACAGCATAGCAGGGCAGCGGTCCATGAGTGATATGCCCAGCTTTTCCACCACCTCTTGCACCTTGGGCAGCTGGGCTGGTGGCATTGAGGAGGTAGAGGGGAGAGCAAGGGGAAGTTGGTAGAGTTGACGGCACAGCATAGCAGGGCAGCGGTCCATGAGTGATATGCCCAGCTTTTCCACCACCTCTTGCACCTTGGGCAGCTGGGCTGGTGGCATTGAGGAGGTAGAGGGGAGAGCAAGGGGAAGTTGGTAGAGTTGACGGCACAGCATAGCAGGGCAGCGGTCCATGAGTGATATGCCCAGCTTTTCCACCACCTCTTGCACCTTGGGCAGCTGGGCTGGTGGCATTGAGGAGGTAGAGGGGAGAGCAAGGGGAAGTTGGTAGAGTTGACGGCACAGCATAGCAGGGCAGCGGTCCATGAGTGATATGCCCAGCTTTTCCACCACCTCTTGCACCTTGGGCAGCTGGGCTGGTGGCATTGAGGAGGTAGAGGGGAGAGCAAGGGGAAGTTGGTAGAGTTGACGGCACAGCATAGCAGGGCAGCGGTCCATGAGTGATATGCCCAGATTTTCCACCACCTCTTGCACCTTGGGCAGCTGGGCTGGTGGCACGGAGAAGGGGGAGGGGAGAGAGGAAAGGGAAGAGGGGAGGAGCGGGGCACAGTGGAGCTGTGCTGCATGACTGATATGCCCAGCTTGTTCCCCACCTCCTGTACCTTGGGCAGCTGGGCTGGAGACACGCAGGAGGGAGAGGGAACGGCAGGAAGAGTGGAGCACGATGGAGCATGCTGCATGACTGATTTCCCAGCTTGCCCAGCTTGCTCCTGGGCAGCTGGGCTGGTGGTGTGGAAAGCAGCAGAACAAAGTAGCAGTGGTGGAGGCAATTCCAGTGAGTTTCTAGTGCTGTGGACAGATAGTGCGAGACCCAGGACGAGGTGTAGTGGGGTTATTAAGGAAACGCCCTGGTCATTCATGAGAACGTGGATGAGAGAAAAGAGTCCAGGCAAGGAGATAAAACGAGGAGAGTGTGCATGGGGAACGTACATCCAGGAGTGGCGGTCAACGCAAGGACTCGAAACGCAACACCGGCTTTGTGGAGCTGCCATGAGGGAGAGCGGCAGCAGGAGAAGCAGGGGCAGGGAGCGGTGGAGCAAGGGGGGGAACAAGACCGGCAATAAGAGAGGTGAAAAGAAGAGGAGGCTGAGGCACAACGATGGAATGGGAATGAGATGAGAGAGATGCACAAGAGAAAAGGATGCGCTGATGAAACGAGAGGAGCTGAGGGGAGCCTGATTGCACGATGCGCATGATGAGAAGGATGCTCAACGGTTCCACCACCCACCCACTCATCCCACTCATCCCACCACCCATACCCCCACACCACCCCACCGCACACTCCCCTCATCTCACCTCCTCCACCACGCGTGCATACGCATAGTTGCCCACCGACAGTTTTGGGGACTTCAAACCCAGAAGTCCCCCCACCCCACCCCACCGCACACTCCCCTCATCTCACCTCCTCCACGACGCGTGCATAAGCATAGTTGCCCGTAGCACGGTGGGCCTCGTCCACAACCAGACACACTATGGCCTCACGCGGACAGGCACCTGTGCATGGGGGCATCGGATAATGGAGCATGAGAGCATGGATTCCGGCTCTTTATTTCCAGCTTTGTAGAGTGATGGGCCTCATCCACCACCAGACACAACAGGTGATGAGAGATTCCGGCTAAGTTGTGACTCTTTTTGATTCAGGTCTTCAAACGTGTTGGGGCTTCATCCACCACCACCAGACACAATACACTGTATAGAATACAACTAACTACCCAGACAAGCAGCTGCACATAAACAGGCGGAATCAACCCACTTGAAAAGTCAGTTCAGGCACAAGATGCCTTGGCTTATCCACAACACATGCACCGTGTGCTGTACCGTGCGTCACCGCATTCCACTGTGAACGTGATTATGCACTGCAACAGTGCATACCGCAAAACGCCCTTTGCACCCCTCACCCCAGTGCACCATGTCCTTTGCACCAGTCACCACTCCGCACCACCACTCACCCCACTGCACCATGTCCTGCAGCAGCACCTGCCCTGTGACAAAGAACACGCGCCGCTCCCTCCAATGTTGCGCCCTCTGCTCCCGCGCCATCTGCCCCGTCATGTGCATCGTGTGCTCCTGGGGGGTGGTGGAGGGGGCAGTGAATGAGTATCATCACAAAAAACCTTGGTTTTTGAAGGGGGTTCGAAGGGGGGTACAGTTCAGGTGTTTTGGTTGGCGAAGTTCCGAAGCCAAATCGCGACCAATCACGGAATGAAATCGAAACGCGTTTGTTTGTCGAAGTCTAGATCGAATCCGCGACTCCGGTACATTGCCGTTTATTTGAAGCGTGCCAGATTTGTTGTGATTTTGTAATTGGTTTTTTAAGCTTTGACTTCCCTAAAATGTGTCTGCTTGAAAATATGCTAGCCATTTTATTACAAGATAAATGCATCACATTTGATACTTATTAAGGAGATAGGTACTGTCCAGGTGGAATGCCTTCACCACATGGACGTGGCGGAGCAGCGCTTCAATCGGAATCACGGAGTACGCGTACATTCCTGTCGTCCACTTGAGGCGAAGACATCCTGTTGCTGTATCCTCTCCGCTTGCATTCCAATATCTAACGTAAGCCAGCTCCTCCCTCTCTCCACGTATTTTTGTATGGAACAACAGAAGCAACCTTGCATACCACTCCTCTCTCCGACCATACCTTACACCCTCCACTGCAACATCCGAGTACCATGGCCTCTCAAAATAGTCAGGGGTTGCTCGAACGAAGTGAGAAACTCTTGAGAAGCTGGCGTCGTCTGCTGCAGGGATTGCCAGCGATGCATGGGCCTGCATAACAGTTGATGTTAGTCATGATGATACGAGCCAGCCAAATGATGGTTGATTGCATAAACTTGCAACTACTTACTCGAATCTTGGTGACGCATCCTGCATAACGCATAAGCGCATCCTTGAGGGCAGCTTGGGCACGAGGGTGTTGCTTGGCCCACTTCCTTGCAAACCAGTTGGTGGAGGTGGGTTCTTGTGGTAACTCCACAGGGAGGAAGTATGACTCCTTGATGAGCGTCCGTGTGTCGGTCTCAATCGCCTGCCAACATATGCTATTGATATTATTACATTCTGCATTCACATATCCATGCAATTCAAGCACTAAACAGATTTACCTGCCGCATGGCGGTGTCCCGGCCAGCAGGATCATCCACCGGCACCACATCCGGAATGCGCCTAGCATGGAACTTCATGATCTGCCCATCTACATTGCGCTTGTTGGACCGACGGTAGATCCTCTTTACCAACGGTCCGTGCAAGTGCTCGAACATGTTGGTGCTGAATTCAGTCACATGACCCGCGCGACGTATGGAGTCAACGTAGTGCGACATGAGATGTGTTTTCACAAGGCACCAAGAGGATGGCTGCTTTGGAAACGCAGCCTGCAACTGCTCAACGAGCCTGATGGGAGTGGGAGATGACAACAGATGCAATCACAGAGTCTACTTATTCATTTGGTTTTCCTATTCCTGATCCTTTCCTATCAAAGTTTAGCACCAAACATCCTCACAAGATTGCCTACTACAAGAGCACATTTACAGTAGCCAAGCATTCATCCCATGCACGGGGGTTTACATGCGTGGTATTATTACCGAGAGGTCATCTTCTTCAGCTCCCGGAGGGACCGCTCAGTGTGCCCCTGAGGCTGGGAGCACAGGATGTACCAGCCAAGATAGGCACGAACGGCATCCATCTGGGGCTGGCGAAGCAGGCCTGCAAAAACAAACACCATGACCTGCAAAGAATGTGGATAGCAGCAAAGGGGAGGGTGAGCACAGATGGTGTGAGGAGTTGGGACAAACAATGGCAGCATGAGCAGACTGCTTGAGGGTTTAGGCCAGGACAAGCAACAGGGAATGGAGGGTTCATACCTGCATGACGGCCCTGTGCTCATAGGCCGCCACACATGCTCCGGTCTCGAAGTAGGCGCTCTCCGGCAGGCGCATGTGATTCAGGCGCGTGCGGTCGCGAATGAGAGACAGGCGCCTGCCCATACACATCAGTTCAGCGGTGGCAAAAGGGCAGAAACATGTCAGTAATAGGACAGAACTTATGGTTTGAGTAAATGTGACGAAGAGCAACGAATCCAATCCCCAAAACACTGACCTGTCCATCTGCTTCACACGCCGCTTCTTCATCTTGCGCACGACAGCCACAATGTGGCTCATGATGCCCAGGTCCGCCTGGTGCATGATGTCAGGCATCACCACGAGGTAGGGATTGCCCCACGCGGTCCCTGGGACATCCCACTTCCAGAGCACGCACTGGAAATGGGGATGTGGTGGGGAATGGAGGAGAGATGTACGTGAGAGTGGATAGCTAACCTAAACCACAAGTGGGGTGAGTTCAATGGGGCAGAGCACATCTGGCAATTCATGACGGGGCGGGCGAGAGCATAGACTACTCATGGGCCGGGGAAACAGGTCACTCACCTCAACAGGGTAGGTAGAGTAGGCCTTGCACGGGTCAGCCTGGCTAGTTGTCGTCCCAGCCGCCTCGTTAACGATCCATTGCTGCTGTTCAGGCGTGCGCGGCGTGTTCCGTGCCTTGACAGCACTCAGATGCTCCTGTTGTAGCACGGGGGTGAGGGATGGGATAGAAAAGGTAAGGGTGGTAGCTATGTGGGTTCTATCAGGCGACCCACAAACGAGAATGTATTTGAATGCGTGCAGATGGCATGTGACCTCACCTTTGCAGCATAGCAGATGCTGCACGGCATCCGCGATCCATGCGAGAGTGTGCAACTGATCTTGCCGCTCTCGGGGTAGTCGCACACCCAGGCGTACAGCAGGGGCCGCACGGTTTGCCAATCACCGAAAGGGTCCCTGAGACGGAACCCGCTGCAAGGAACAGGTAGAGGGGCAACAGGAATTCGGGTTACGGCTTTTAGGGAGGAACGACGAGGGGCAAAGGGCCATGCTACATACAGAGAAGGTTTGCATACCATGCAGGTGGTGAGATGATGTCTTAGCAAGATGCAAACCGAGTACGGACCTGGCAATGCCATCAAGAAGCGGCTGCAGCACGGTGATGACGCAACGCTGGAAGAGCATCACCTTCTCCACGGCAGACATTGCAGACGGGGGGATAGGAAGAGGGCAAGTAGTGTGTGCCCGGCTTTCCCCCATCGCTTGGCCTGGGAGATGTTGGCCAGCGTCATCATGAGCGGCCACGCCTTCTTCCGGCCGTTGATGCTCATGTGCGTCACATCCGAATATAAGATGATCCCCCCCACAACTTCGGACCAACCGAAGTGTTCCTGCAGTGCACGACAAAGCGGCAACGGACACACGGTTTAGGGCTCAAGATGCTCTTGACAGATCAGTGCAGCGATGGAGGCATGAGGAAGGATTGGGTTTGGGGTGGCAACGTGGTCTTTCCTTACCTGAGCATCGTTCCACCACGTTCCTGTTTCAGGCGTGGTATAGCGACGGCTGCCTGCGTCAGGGTCCTCATCAACACGCGCCTTGAGCTTGAAGCCGGGCGCGTTGTTGGGATGTCCAAACATTTCAGCGAATGCCTGGTGTACGGTGGCGAAGGCAGGTGAGAGGAGAGGCATGGTTAGTGGCGGTGAAGGTGGGTGTACGGTTAATACAAGGATAACTACGTACATGCAAACCCTGTGTGCCTCATCATCATTTCACGGCCTTGAATGCAAAGTCGGCTTACCTGGGCTGAGTTCTGAAAGAGCAAGCGCTGTGGTGGATGACCGTCAATCTCGAAGGTCGCCACCGACCATCCGCGATTGAGCCCTGCCAAACGCTCCATCTCGAACCGCTCCAGATCCTTACAGTTCCGGAGCTCCGAGATCACAAGAGGCGCAAGGCCGGGCTCTACGACTAGCTGAAGCAGGCCGTTGATGTCAACCTCGGCCATTCCCATTCCGCCATTCACGCGCCGAACGAAATGCAGCAGCTTCAACGCGAGCGGATTGAGGGGCGTGGCATTGCTCTGTCCGGAGATGATTGTTGGCGGCGCGGCATGACTCCCTTCGGGCCGGCTCTCAGGATGGTCACTCGTGTCAGCCGCAGGAGCTCCTGGTTGTGGTTGATGTTCATCTTCAGGAGGCCCCTCGTTCACGTCGTTGGGAGTTTCGTCAACGTGAGCTTCAGGCACGCGTGGAGGACCGCTCACACTGACGGCGTTGGATGCGTTAGACGCTGTAGGTGAACCGGGAGCGGCTGGAGCGTCCGACAGAATGTCGTGGACGAATAGCAGAGCGTGAAGACCGGCGGTCGGTGCAGATCGCGTCAGCCTTGCCACGGCGGATAGTCCTTGGCAAGGGGTCCGCCGTGACTTATGACCGCCATAAACTTGGGCGTTGGGGAACCATCTGTTGCAGAACTCGCAGACGACGCCTGGTAAAGAGCCCATGTGTTACGGATCCGTTGTAGAGTCGAGAAATCGCCTATGAAGCTACTAGCCGTGATGAAGCTTGTGAACGCATTAAGTACTCCGTTCAAGAAGCCTGTGACAGCTATACGATCATCGCCAATGCGCGCACTGTGGTGGGCGGCTTGTATCACTGCACGACTGGCACTTGACATTGGCGCTAATGTTTATGACTGGCTAACGATGTCGAGCCGCGTGGTCGTTACCAGGCACGATACAGACCGCCCACCTCACGGGCCGTCTTCACTACAAGGCGTGTCGCCTCCGTTTAGAGTGACCACGACGTGAGCAGAGGAGAATGCAGAGGATCTTAAGTCTCACGGTCGTGTGTGTGCGTCGCGAGCACGGTGAGAAGGACGTGCCTATTGAATCAAGAACTTGTGTTTAGGAACCGTGCGTGAGAGTCGAGGGGGATGAGGAAGAGCGGGAAGAGATCCGTTTGGATATGTGATTGTGTCGCGAATCGATATAGGGGGGAAATCAGAATCACGTAGGTGAGCTCAAGAGGCTTCAAACAAACATGGAAATGCAAATGTACAATTACAACTTAACAAGACACTCAAGTCATTCATAACTAGTAAACATTCATATCCTTAGGACTGATGTTGAACAACCCTTACTTGATAACGATACGGGAAGTACCCAATAACTCCATGCCCTAACGTATG